AAACTCTACCAGGCATAACGGTGTACATGCTCTCGCTGCCCTCCCCCTCTGTAGTAAGATCATACTGATCAGTGAATAAAGCTTTAGGGATTAAAACAGTTGTAAGTTTCTTGTCAGATTTTGCCTCCATTGACTTTTTTGTGGGTTCTTTTGTTGAGTGGGCACCAAGATACACATTCTCTTTTGTTAGTGAAACTGAATCCCCTGTCCTGGGAAACTCTCTCTGAGAAGCTGGCCGCAAGCTATCTGTAGCTGTCATCATAGGACCCACTTCTATTTGTTCAGTCTGATTATCAGCATCATGTTTGTGTGCATCTCCTGTTTCAGTATCTTCCCATAAACCAGTGGAACTCTTAGCTACAGCTGTGCTATCCTGAAAAATTACAGAGGTCAAGAAAGCGTCCTCAATGCTTTCAGACCTACCTTGATCCTCGGACAATTCTGCTTCTGAGTAAGTGTGGTCCAGTTCCAAAGCTGCAGATGTGCTCTCTGTTAACCTAGGTGAAACATCATATTCAGTCCTTCCCAGTGTATCATAAGTGCTTATTTCGCCATCTGTCACAGTCTGAGGTAGAAGGGTGGTTAACTTAATATTCTCCATGAGCACCTCCAGTTCCCTTTTTTCCTCAGCCACATCAGTAGTCATTGCTGTATCTTCTTTAGTCTCTAAGGTTGTTTCCTCCAAAGCAGGAACCTCTGTTTTGGTGACAGCCGCTTCAGTAACCGAAGTCTCAAAAACAGGAGGTTTAGGAGTAACTTTAGCAGGCGACAACTTCACACTGTCAGTTTTCAGAGATGTAATCAGCTTAACAGTTGTAGGCTCTGATACGATCTTTTTACCTTAAAAAAGAAAAAAAAACTGTTAAGGAATCACTCAGTCAAAACACAAACAAATGTCACTTTAATTCAGTTTCAATTTCCACAACAAAATCTAAGTGCTGCACCGAAAATATAAAAGGATTTATATAGTTTAGTGTATAACAGAGCTTTGAATGACATTAACACATGACAAAGCTGCACAACATCTAACTTAGTCATGAAATGAGAAGAGTAGCATTATTCTTCATACTCTGTTTATACAATTACCCCAAGAAGTCCTCATATTGTACCAGTATTCATCAGACAGCTAAGTAACCGATTAGGGAATATAGAGGTTTATTTCATGATGTCATGAATGAGTGGTACTGCAAACCTGTGGGTTTTCTTCAAAGCTGACTGTAACAGAACTCAAATGTATAAAGGGAATGAAATACCACCTCGGTTTATTTTCAGCACACAATTACACACTGCAAAAAGGAACCCTCGCCGGAGTGAGAAGATGCTTAAGCAACAGGAGCAAACATGCCATCAGAAAATACTGTTTTACAACTGCACAAGAGCTGCTGCTCTGCTTTTAAATTATACTGAGAGAAATTTATTATGGGGAAAGGTGAGAAGAGTAAACCGTAAGACCATAAACTTAATACTATAATGATGTTGATCTTTGGAAAACACTTCAAAGATACACATCTGAAACTCCTTCACACACAAAAGTGCTTTTATGGGAGCACTGAACATGAAAAGGCAGAGTGCTGAACCCTCTGGATGATGGGAAGAGTGAGAGGATAGCTATCCTAGGTTTGCAAGAGATACAAAAAAAAAGGTCTTTCCAGAGAACTAGACTGTGATGTTTTAAAAACATCTTGCTGCCTTATGCATCATCCACTCCTTCTGCCCCAGATTTCCATTCTATCTGAGGAAAAAAAATGTGCTGACAACCATGACACTTCAAAGTTTGGTATCAGATTTTAAACTCCTGAAAAAGGTGAGCTTGTGCTCAGAAAATAGGATTTGTTCAGGAAAAGCTCAGGGTGGAAACATCTTCCCTTCTGCCAGTTCTTTCAGGTCAGTAATCTTCAGAAGGGCAAATGGAGCAGACAGGTGGAAGAGATGAATGTCTTAAATCAGTGCTGTTAATTGCCAAGTGTCTGAGCCTAATATGGATGCAAAGCTTTATATTAATGCAAGTAAAGTACAAAATACGGTCTTCAAATCATGATAATTATATGAAGAATGCATTAACAGGCTGTGTGTATGAGGACTAACTGCTTACCAGACAGACAAAACTACATATATAGCTTCTTGTAAAAGAAAATATTGCTCAACTTCTAATAGAGCAAAGAAATCTATTCTCCTCACATGCAAAAATCAAAACAGCTACAGTATTTTACAAGCCAAAGACTCATTATTATAGCTGTGAGTTAACAAAAGAGATCAGGGAACTTTACTCAAGGTAAGCTATGGATACCAGTTATCGGGAGAAAAAGTGAGTTCCAAGGATGGATTGTTACTGCCTGGCATATGGGGATGAAGATGTTTCACATGATGGTGCAGCCTCTGACTGACTCAAGACCTGCAAGAGCATTAGTATGGCCAAGAGGATGAAAAAAGAAAAGAGGGAAAAATTTAGAAAGACTCAAGCTCATCACGCGTTTGTGCAATGACAGTTTGTACTCAAGCACACACAGTATGTATGCACAAATCAGTTCTCTTCACACACCTATGCCTACTTAGATACCCTTTTAATATTTGTAGATATGAATTCTGCATGTGTAAGTTAGGGTCACACAAATATTCTTTTAGTCTCACACACACCAGGCTTTGAAAGTGTCACCTTTGCAAGAGACTTATTTGATTTACACTGAAGTAGACAGGCTTTTCAGTGGATGGCTGCTTAGAATATCTGAAAGAATAGGTTGATTCTTTTAGAGAAGAATGAAATTAAACAGAGTAGGGAAATGAGGAAAAAGAGCTGAAATTTCAGCTTTCTTGAATGAGAGGAGAAAAGGAAATTGGGGAGGGGTAAGAAATAAAACAGTCACTATGTTTAGAAGTGGTGGTATTCTCTGTCAGCAGAAAAAGGAATGGACTCTTTTCCCTACCATATGTTAAATCTGTTTGTGGTTTTACAAACAGGACTTAGCTACTTATAGGTGGATACATAGCGTACTTTTAGGTGGATGTTTTTTGCTTTTTTCAATGTGTATGTGTTTCAAGTGTGAGATTGTGTTCAAATAATCAACAATCAACAAATCTTTACAATTTTTTTCCCCCGTCTGTTTGCATGAGGATACTTTAAACCACAGATATTTAGTTCACAATTAGGGAGTGAAGAGTGAATACAAGTAAATTAGCACTGTCCTCCTGAGTAGTAATTGGTAATTATTAAATTTCTACCAAAGAATCCACCAAATTACCCTAACAGCTCTTTTTAATGTCAAAATGGAGAGAAGACAGCACAATCTTATGTTCTCCCTTCTAGCCACAGGATGAGTTTCCTTTACGCAGACTGAATTTCTTCGCAGCCAACATCAAGTACTCATTCAGTACAAATTCTCACAAAACTTTTCAGTGACTATCAAGATCACTGTTAAAAAGAACATTAAAACATAATACCCTCTAAGAAATGCAAACAAAATTGAGAGTATGAGAACAGATTTTAAAATCTTAAAGTTTTAATTGAGTTTATCAATAAATGGACAAATTTTCTCCTGCGGAAACTAACAGGGAGATGTGAGTGTCCAAAGAGTAGTTCTGAATAAAATCAACTACAAGTTGATTTTACTAAAGTTGATAAAACAACTTTATCATAAATATGTAACATTTTTCATACAGATCACTGGTGTCTGCAAACTTATTTGAGTTGATAAAAAAAACATGCCTCTTCAAGGAGAAATCTATTAATGTTGCCATTTGTTTTTTTTTCTGGAGGAAAAGGAAAAAATAAAACAAAGAGAAGGTTGCTTCTTTAATAGACTCAACATCAGTTTGAACTCTCGTCTGCTCCACCCAGCTGTTTTGCATTACTGTACTCCTTGCATCATGCAGGCAATATGCTATCTCCTTTGTCCTCCTTCTGATTCAAGACATGAGGCAAATTTTTCCTAATAAAGTTCATGAACATATTAGCAGCAAGGAAGTAAATTATCTCACCAACAGCTGCTCATATCAAAGACTATCCTGTCGGTTTTCAGTCCATTCCTTTTACATTGAACAACCTGCACGAAGCTGACTTTGGACAGAGTATATTACTTTGCACAGATAATATTTTTTCTACTCTCTGATTATTTATTTTATACTTTCCCTCTACAGCATTTCCTTCCACTTCTCACCCACCATTATTTAAATAAGAATTCAAAATTATGGATTAATATTAAAACTTAATATTTTTTCAAGGAAATCACACTGCACAATGTTAGACATGGTGTAACTTTGTGATTACCAAATAAGGATTCTGGCCTGTTCTGTGCTATTTAATATTTCCAGAATATCTGAGTGTACTCTCTTGGAGAAAAAAATGCTTAAAGATCACATATATTTTAATTTTTATATATATATTTTCCACGAAATTTTTAACTATTTGGCTAACTTGCAACACTTCAGCAGTTTCTCTGCACTAAGAAACATTATTTGTCTGTTTACCAGGTACTTAATAAGCTGGAAGAACACAGACCCTACAGATAAAGAAATTGGTTTGTGTCATTGCCAACGGCCAAAATAAAAAATTATGTCAGAGCAAAATCCAGGAAAAAACAGTGAATTGTTTCTGTAAATACTAGCCAAAATAAATTATTCCAAACTTTCAGTAATGTTGAGACAGTCAAAATTAATGGCTTGACACCTTCCAGCCTGTTTAGAGAATGATGCCTATGCAGAGAGGTAGGGTTACTTTTTTTTTTTTTTTTTTGGTATGTTAATTTGTTTACTGCTTTGTTAAGTTTGTTCCATGAGTCTGTCCCTTCCCTGCTACCAATCCTGGCAGACAGAGTGGTCTTGAATGTTCCCTTGGTTCAAAAAGTTATGCCAGCTGGAGCTAAAATTATTATCAGAACCTTCAAAACTGGACAAGACAAAGATTAAGAATAGGTTTAAAACTAAATAAATAAAGATGGTCTTCTGGGTAACAGCCTGAGCCAGAAACTTCCCATTGTTACATTGACTCAGTACCCACTCATTTATTTATTTCAGGAAGCAGAAAGGTGGACAGGGAATGTGAAGGTTTGTTCATTACGTATGAGGAGTGTGGTAGCACAAGGAGGATTCAAAATCTGACACTGCAGCTATAAGAGCTTCTCTATAACTCCACTTACCTATGCTGTATTTTGACATCAAAACATGAGCCAAATGTAATGAGGAAAATAATTTAGAGGACTAAATGCAGTATCCATTCCTAATTAAAAAGTGAAGTATCAAAAAAAAAAATAATGAGACACTTAAAAAAAAAATTTAAAAGTTATTAGTCTATCGTATTTTTAAGGAAAAATGCAAAAACATAATCATCTTCAGACCATTGCCCAACGTTCTTTTCTTCCAGCTAACAAAGGCAGCAGCTATATTAGCTCTGTGAACACAAAACACTCTTTAAGTGAAACCACTTGCTATTTCATAACTTCTAAAGTCGGACTTTTAAAGGGCAAAGGATATGCTAGATCCTGGTTTCCCTGCATGCAAGTGTAAGTTCTGTGAACAAATTACAACCTGTCAATCTATCCACAAAAGAACAAGAGCAAAAAAGCATTTATCTTTCCACATTATTTATAATAAAACTGTCAAAGAGGACAAAAAAATCAGTGAGCTTCTTTAGTCATCTCTTCCTAATGAAATCTGCATCCCAGCACCAAATAAAAGCAACGGTCTTTGCTTCCTGACCACAAAACCAATTGAATAACAAAGACAGTCAAGATTGTCACTGGGGTCAGGAAAAGACAGCAAAATTCTTGCTGCTTTGCTCTCCCCACCTGGTGTGAAAGGAGACAAATTACCCATGTGTCCCAAGAGCTGTAGCCAGTTCCCACAGCAGT